GAGGGGGTGGGGGCGGGAAGCGGTCGAGCGGCGCCCAACTGGTGTGTGCTCCCTGCGCAGGAATACAGCGTGCAGCTCACCTTCCGAGAGCAGTGGCTGGACGAGCGGCTCAAGTTCAACGATTTCGGAGGTGAGTACGTGAATGCCCGCCCTTCCTCTCCCCTTTCCTCTTCTTTCCTTTCTTCTTCCCTTTTCATACTCTTTTTCTCCCCTTTCTTCAATGTTTTGCTCTACTTACTTGCTATCTTATTTTTTTTATTTTGTAATTGTTTATCATTTTTGTCGTCAGTTTTTTCTTCTTCCTGTTCTTAATTCTCATCGTTTCGTTTTTTATCTTTCTACTTCTTCTTTTACTTCCCTTTAGCCTTCATTTAATGTTAACTTTTTACTATCTCTTTACTTCATACTTACGTAGGAAAGATAAGAAATATTAAAGCTGAACCAAAAATAATTTTTCGACATAAAAACTCTTATTGTGGGGATCTGGTAACGAAAAAGTTGCTAAGTCATGATGTTATGTATTGTAAATTACTCCCCGAAACACATGTAGTTTGTCAACATGTAGTCAGAATCCACATTTTGTAGGTCTTTTATACCGAAAGTAGCGGTGCTACAAAAGAACATCTTTTCTCTAACATTTTTTTCTAGCAATTCAAGGAGTCCAACTGCAGTTAAACATGCGTAATTTTTTTTAACGTCCTTTGCTGTCTCCGTGGAAAAAATATTAAAAGCTTACAGCCGTTTTTGAGACTAACAAAATAATCAATTGTATTGCCTAAGGGTAGAAATTCCTAAAAAAATATTCATATTTTTAAAAAATTGTAGTACATTTCACAGGTCTCATTTTTTAAAAATTATAAAGGCACCTCTATTTTCAAAATTATACTTTCACAATGATTTTTTTGTTGCAATTTTCAAAAATTTAGAGAGTTTGCGAAAATGGGATCAGAATAATTTTTTTACAGTCTTTTGCTGAGTACAAGGAATCAATTTTAAGCCTTTTTTAAGAAAATAACAATTCAAAAATTACCCAAATTTCATGCAAATCGAAACTATTCATATTTTTGAAAAATTGTTTATAATCTTATTTTCGATGTCTTTGTACAACGTATTTCATTAAAACGAAAAACCTCTATTTCCAATATTGTGGTTGTATGGCGCCGGAATAACTTTGAACTGCGCCATTTTTAAGCGTTCTTTATCCTATCCGAGCACAAAGTTCAATAATAATATTTGGATTTGTGTATTAGAAAATTTTGAAAATGCTGGGGTTTTATGTTAAGTATCACTAAAAAGCAAAATATCCGTTTCAAGTTCGCAGAGCCTCATGTTCGTTCAGATCGATCATGGTTGTCATTTTGGGGAAAATCACCGGAATTTACGAAGCTTTGACAGCTAGCATTGCCTCCCTGTAGTTCTCGCAAGAAAAAGTAACCGCGCCGTCTGCGGCCAAGTTCAGTCTTTCCACGGCTTGGGTATCCCTTGTCATGACGAAACTTTGCAGGCACAGCCTCACAAACAACCGCGAGCTCAAAGGGGGAGAAGTGGCCTAGCAAAATTACGTCGTAGAAAATGGAGCATGTCGCTAGTTCAGTTGAGGAAGTATTTCCAAATAAAAAATATATTAAAACACTTCTATGAGTATGAAAGTACATACATAGAAGTACATATACGTTTAACCACTGTTAAACAATTATTTTTGAAAAAATTACGTTGATACGAGATAAAAAAAACACTAATTTTAGAGCATTTAGATTCTCATACACGTTGACTTTCAATATTATTGATTATAAATAATTCAGGACCTTTATCAAACATCCAGTTTACTATATATTTATCGATAAGATAACTATCATAATTGCCAGTTTTCAAATGTTCATATGTTTATAAAATTTGCAAAAATTGCAAAATCGTGTATTTTTCGTATCGATAGATGACTTCTAGAGAGCCATTTAAAACAAAAACAGCAAAATTCAAAGATCAAGTCCATGTATAGTATTTTAGCAACAAATAAAGTAGGCATTAGCAATAATTTTGCATCTCTTGTAAAAATTGTTATTTTGCAATATTAATTTCAAACACAATTTGGGGAGGTCGACAGGAATTGCATGGATTTCGGAATTGTTTATAAAATTGTTATTTGTTGCCAAATTGTTAATTCACTGCTGTCTATTCTGGGACATCAGGGACTCCTTCATTCTTTAGAATTTAAAAATTTGGAAATTGTATCTACATTCTTTAATTTTGCGAATAATATATTCCTTTTCCTAAATTGCCTTTAACGAGATGCAAAATTCTGCAATCCGATCGGCGTTATTGTCTTTCGTTTTCGAGATATGTAATTGATTTATAAGAAATTAGCATCTCATGAAAACTATTTTTTTGGCGGACAATCCTTATGCAGTTTCCACGCAAGTATTTTTTCAAGCCGTTTTACAAACGGCTCTTTCGTTTCTCCGTCATTCGTTTGAAGTTCCTAGAGGGGGTGGAGCGGTCATGCTGCTACAACTCATGCATATGTTGCCAAGAAGATTGTTGCTAGTTAGATATTCCGTTTTTAAGCTCTCTAATTTTTCATTTTATTCTAAATACTTGAAGTTCCCTTTGTTTAGCAAATACCGCATATGTTTTTAAAATATTATGCGAGTCGTCTACCGACCAATCCTGAAGTTGGGAGCAAGAAAGAGCCGGCAATTGGCTTCCAGATATACCTCCCCCTGAAAATTGTTTCCTTCCTCCACGCGTTTGAAAGCGAAATAGGCGGAGCTTGTAAGCACGAATCATAGCACTCGCTTCCACCGGAACCTTCTTAGGAACCCAATTCTTCAGATATAAAATTATGGCAGTACGAACAACGAAGAATGTGAACTCATGAAGGTGGTTACACGGAATGTCAGTAGTTTTAAAATATATTTCCTTTGTTTAAAATGACAGGCTACAGCCTAAAAAACGAAAGAAGAGAACAGTAGTTTTGTATCAATTGTTATGTAATTATGAATATAGGCATTCAGGCTTCCGGCTCCCCAGTATTCACACGTTCCAAAAATGGAAATTTTTAGTTGAAGAAATGCGAACTTACGTATGTAGTTCAGTAAATTTCAAAAGGAGCAAGTTCGCCATTCAAACATGTTTTTAATATTCAATTATCCCAAGTTCGGAACAATTCCTAGAAACATTCTTTTCCATTCAATACTGGCAAGCCAATAATCAACACTACCGTCTGTTTGAGGCCATCGGTTCAGAGAAGGTGGAGTAAGTTTTTAAGTCATTCTGCAGGTTATCGTAAGCGCAAAGTATATCCTCGTGAACTGTGAATAAAGGGGTATCATCTGCCGAAAGAGTGATTTCTGAAACATCTGGATATAGAATATCCGATAAGTATATACGTATGCTGTAGTAAACGAGAGAGACATGACCCTTGACGGACACCGGCATTAGTTTAGTAGAAAACGTAGAATTGAATCTCACGAGGAAATGATCAGAAAGCTGTCGATAATTTTATGAAGATAGTTTAAATAGTAATCCGAGGTGCCACATTTTGTCGAACATATTTGTTTTCTATGTCAAGAAATATTGCTAATTAATGTTTGTTATGGTGAAATGTATTAGTCATGAACACTGAAAGTAGTGTATGTTTTTGAATCCGGATTGTGCGTTAGGTATAGCCTTTATTTCTTTTGCATATTTCTTGTATAAATTCGTTTTTTGAATAATTTGCCCTAAATATAATCTTGTGAGAAATAAGCACAATAGGTTGAGGATCACTTAACCTGTTAAAACTCGAAAATTAATGTAAATAGAACTCAGCTAAATATCTACTAAAGATTCATTTATTTTAAAAAAACTTGTAGAGTTATGGCAAAGTATGTACCGCCTACGTATGCTTTTTTACGCATACGCGTTTATTTCGTTGTCAGTAGAACCAAATAAAAATTTGTTTTTCGTTTGCTCTTGGAACTTTCTATAACACACAAGGGAAAGTGTCTTGTTATCAAATGATGGATTTTTATTACTTTCCGGTCTACGGTCTAATGTAGAGTAATATTCATGGTATAGAGAAATTTATGTAGCGCTGCTCAAAATCGATTTCGAGATTTAAACGGAAATACACTTTTTGAAGTCTTCTGATACCAAAAAAGTGTCTTTTTTCAAAAACATCCGCCCGTCAAAGCATCTCTCCGACCGTCTTGTGCTCGCCGAACAACACTAGTGCCTAAATTATTTGTGGGAATTTTTCCAAAAAGAATATTCCTTGGTGAATCTGGCCCGACTCAAAACTTAGAAAGACATTCTTTAAATTTTGGGGGTACTTTACATAAAAACCCTTAGACATTTTGAAAATTTTCTCAAAATGGCTCCAATTTAAAAACAAATATTGTAAGAATAGAGTGCAATACATATTGTTAAATGCCTAAATAAAGATGGAAAATATCCGGTTTTCACTGTTAACACTAAATTACAATATTTGATTTTTTCGGCATCTTTCTGCTAGAATAATATTGATGATAGCGGTGTTTTCTTCAATTGTGTTCTTTACAATAGTTATTTCATTAACGTCATAGGCATTGTTTTAAAAATTTTAGTAGTTTTTGAACAAATGTGAGTTAATAATGGGCAATATTAAAAATAACACCAAAATTTTCTCAAAAAAGGAAGCAAATTTTTTCTTTAACCTTTTTTTTCGAATAGACTTAAATACACTGTAACAGATGGCATAAACGTCATTTCACTGTTTCCGTTTCTTTGTTTTTAATACACAAACGTATTTTTTATATCTCTCACGTCGTTAAAAATTTACACTACTTGTGATTTGTTTACATTAATGCATTTGTAAGTACAATGGCTTTAAATGATTTCCTATGAAGTTTCTCCAAAACTCAAAGTTTTTCTGTTGAATGAGCTCCAAATTAAGCACATTCAGAACTGCGCAAGCGACTACATTTTTCCTTTAATTATTTTCTAAGTGTATTGCTAAATAAGCTGTATGAAGTGACATACACGCCATTTTTCTGCATTCTTTTGATGTTTTTAATAATTACGCAAATGTAATTTTTTTACATCCCTCTCACGTTTTTATATTTATGCACATTTCCTGCGATTTGTATACACTATTTCATTTGTGAGTAGAAGTGCATCAAATGGTTTTCAATAAAGTTTGTAGAAAACTCAAAAACTTTCTGCAAAAAAAAAAGAGATCAAAATTACTCATATGCAAAAACGTTTAAACGAACTTTTCGCAAAAACGGCTCCATTTTTTAACCAAAAATATGCATGCGGGACCAGGTTTTACTTTTGTATTACATTCTTAAAGTCATTTTTTCTGTTTTCCCATTAGGGACCCGAAAACTTGAAAAAATGAAAATGACCATTAGGCGCTAATAGATTGCTGCTGAGAAAAGTTAGGCATAAAACCGAAAAAATATCCCACACTGAGATAAAGAAACTATCTAGTTTGAGAAAATCTGTGCTATTCTGTTCATCACTACACTCACGTATGCATGGTAAAATGAAGGGGGAGGTATTCGCAAGGAAAGATGTGCAGATTGTATTCCAGAATTTTAGTTTTTGTTGAAATTTCTTCTTCTGAACGATTTTACTTTCTTTGTTCTTTAGTACTGCAGGACGTGCTTAAGAACAAATTGCGGTTTAAAACCTGTCTATTTTTGCCTTTTTATTTTTTCATTTCATGAAATACCAGCCTTACATGAAATACGGTACGTGGCACTCGCAATGTAAATACGATAGTCAAAGAATATAGAAAGTAAACGTATGTAGAAATAAGTGTTTCAGTGTAATTTCGATTTTAAAATGTTTTGATTATACAATTGTAATATTTTTTTATATTTACATCCTTATTCCATCTTCATTCTATTCAATATCTTAATCTATATTTTTCATTTGCTCTTCATTTGTAGAAAAGGTAAGTTTATAGTTGTGTGAATATAGAGAGTTTTACGAAAATATGGAATGTCTGACGCGATTGCACAAGTTATATTAGTTCGACAATTATTTTGTATTTAACTTATTTTGTATTAATAGTCTGTAGTTTATTATTCCAGTAAATGTATTGACTCATATATAAACCTATGATATAATACATTTTCTTCCTACACACTAAAATATCTCGTCGTTCGTCTCTTGCAGGCAAAATCAAGTATTTGACGCTCACTGACGCCAATCGAGTCTGGATGCCCGATCTCTTCTTCTCTAATGAAAAGGAAGGCCATTTTCACAACATAATTATGCCGAATGTTTACATTCGCATTTTTCCGTATGGTTCAGTACTATACAGTATCAGGTAAGTTTTAATCACGATTCATCTAAAAAACCCATGACCGAAAGATCATCAAGTGGTCTGTAAAAATATAGTGTAAAAACAATTAAAACAAAACAACATGAACATCCCCAAGCTAGGAGAACATTGGTAAGTGTTACATACAAAAGGACTCAACAAGTAAACAGAAAAACATAACGTGCTAAAATTACATATGTTCCATCATGAAAAACATTATAGCTCACCTGCGTTTGCTGAGAATATGAAGTCATCACTCGAAGATGTCGCATACTCAACGCTGCTTAAGATTGTCGACATTCGATTTTAAGATCATCTCAAAACGTTACAACAAACACATCTTCAAAACGTCTATTAAGTAAATTTATTATTGCTGTAATACTCACAAATAAACAACCATTCAAGTTGAAATACATTATTTCTAACAAATAAGCATATTTCGTTTCGATTATTGATATCCTGATTCTTAACTGTTTCTCGTGTACTTGGACAATCTGGATTCTATTCTCCCAAGCTTTTAGTACATTGCAAAACTCTTTTCTTTTTCAATCTTTCTCAGAGTAAATGGTTTTTTATATACCTAGCTAGAAATTACGATTCCAGAAATCAGGAACATGGCTAAATATACTTCGTTTAATACATGTGATAAGCATGGCATAACTAATATGAAAATGAGAAAAAATTATCAAAGAAGAGACTTAGGCTTCCTCAGCCAAAAAACAAGAGAAGGTACCCACATATGTGGGCTCATCTGTTCCCCCTAAGCTGCTTTTTCTATTAATTTTTTTATTTTTAAATTACTTATTTAACTAGTAAATAAATAAACTAAAATACAAGAAGATTTTTTAATTAATTCAATGCATTTGGATACAATTAATTTTAATTCATTACGAACAGAAAGACGGTGGGCAATTAAAATAACAAAAATATTGAAGATATATATTAAAATAGTTTTTACTTTGTCATTAATAAATTTACTTATTGGGGGAAAATAAAAATATCCATTTAAATACTATTTATTTATTCCGATGATTCTATGTCATACATCATTGATTTGAACATGGTACCTTGCTGAAATATTAAATCAGAACGCGTTCAAATTCAAAATAAAGAAGAACATTTATTCTTAATAATAACCTAAAACCTTGCTCAATATTGTTTGAAAACTAAAAAGAACAATACATTTATTAATTTAATAATGTTCAAAAACACCTTCTTCACCTTTCAAATAATCAAAAGTTCTTTCTTTATGTCCAGCTCCATATGTATACTTCACTATCGTCTCTCCGAAATACTCTAGTCCATTTACTATTCCTTAATGTTGTCCTCAATCAAATGTACCCCCAATATCACACTGCCTTTCCTATATCCAAATTCTCGACTGAGTTACGCCACTCTAACTGAAAATTCTAGTAATAATTTACGTTATCATTCTAGAACGTTAATTTTCTCTCTCTGCTTCCATCCATCTTCTTAAGTCGACCGACATCGAAAACATTGCCAACTTGTGCTTTTATCCCAGTAGGCCGTGAATATATCTTGATGTGAACGAAAAATCTCCTCTATTTTTACTCGTTTCAAAATTTAATTGAAATTAACTACAGGTATACAAAAATATTGGAAATGAATTGGATAAGGCAAGAATAATACACAGAATAAATACACAACAATTTATCTTTAATAAATATTTAAATATTTTATCAAAAAGACAACATTAATGAATAAGAGTATAGTGTTAAAGGAAAATAGAAGTTAGATGGCAAAAAAATACAGTAGATATTGTGACGATTTTATATTTATTTTATCATGACCCAAGTTAGGCAGCTATTTGTAATGATTTTATATTTAACTAATATTCCACTAATTATTTTTTTGCTCGGTTAATAATACATTTATTAGAACATTGATTACTATTACTATTTCAAACATTGCATTGATTTTACAACATCGACATAAAACACTTTACCTTCTTACTTTACTCTTATTATATGTGGACGTACGATTCTGTACAGAGCCGCGATTCCTGGAAGTTTGTCTGTATTATCCTGTTATTATAAAAAATTGATGGCAACATATACAAATAGTCACCCCTTTACTTTGATAATAAAGAATTTTCATTTATTCTGCAGATCTAAATTTGGTTTACTATTGGTCTTTGAGCTCATTAATGATTTATCTTTAATTTGTGTAGTCACAAATTCCGTATGGTATTTCTTGTATAAATGTTCGTACGCGTACGGAAATATCTTCCTCGCCGGTCTTCATGAGGTCTTCCGTTCGGATGCCGTCGATGGGATGATCTCGCGATGCTCCTGCTATCGTCGTAAATACTGGCAGCGGTGGAGTTATTGTAATATTTCCCGAAAATCCTAACTGTTTGATAGTAATATATTAAAATTAATTAACGCAATCCGCGAACGCACCTTTTTCTTCCTGCGCCTCGGATGACGCGCCTACTCATGACTCGTGAGAGAAGTCTCATCCTGCACAATTTGTGTGTTGTTGTTTTGCTTATTTGGTAAAAGAAAAATTTTCTTATATTGCTATGAGATTTTAGAGAATCAATAAGAATCAATTGGTACAATTAGAAACAATTAATAATACTTTCAGTTTGCAATTAAATCAACACCCTGTTCGTGAACTTTACAAACCAGGTGTCAGTGGCGGATTTTCAGAGGAGGCAAGGGAGGTCGTCTCCCCACAAAATTGATTAACATAAGCAAAATATTTTTTAAAGTAAAAATTGCTAAAATTAGCGTTGTATAAAATTGACATACATGTTTACGGCTGGCGAGTACACATTTAAAATAACGTGTTACAAACATCGTTCAAGATGAGCCAAGCAGTTCTGTGCGTTACACATAGGCACCACCACCAAGTACTTGTACTGCTTGTGCCTGCAGGATACAGGTGGCCCAAGCAGACGCACGCCTCCCCTGTTGCCATGACAACGTCCCTCAGCCAATAAGAAAAGAATAGATTCGTTTAGTCCAACTTTTGAGTTGATTTGGCATGGAGGCACTTGGCGCGTCTTGCCCCCTGCTGTGAAAGTGTGATGCGGTCATAGACAGTGGGTGCTCTGTGGTTGCGATGGATCCATTGTGTGGCAGACCCAGTATTTCAGTGAACACAATAAAGCCTTTATTGGAAGTGTCATTTTCGCGAAGAAGTTATCCTAATAGTAGAGAAATATTAAATCTAATTATTTTATTTTGGATCTCCCCAGTAACAGTTTACTAGTAAACCAAAGATCATTGACTTCTAATTTCACATTATGATTCTGTGCCTGAATTTGTCTGGGCCTCCCCACGTTTTGAACCCACCATCTACCACTGTCATGTATTTTATTGTAAATTTTTCATATTTCTACTCTACCCAAGTCTAATAAATTAATAGATTGCAATGTGGAAAACGAGATGGAGAACAATATGTTTCAGAATCTCTTTGACGCTGTCGTGCCCTATGAACCTGAAGCTCTACCCTTTGGATCGGCAAGTCTGCTCCTTGAGAATGGCCAGTTGTGAGTAACACGTAATTTATGTGATCGACAAATAGAAATTTTAGGTTTCTTTCAACAGCTAATTCTTAAACCACATTTTTACTAGTTGCTAATAAAATCCTCATTAAAGTTTTCTAGTTTCATGAACTCTTTAATAAATATAAAGAGAAGTTTTGAAATTGAATCCTTTATTTCATCGATAAAGTTTGTTAGTAATGTTTTGGTAAAGAAAGTTTTAATCTAAAAGTAAAGATATTTTATTGCATATGATAGTGTCTCCTAGAAATTTTCTATTAAAAAAATTGATTATGAAAGGAACCTTATCACTAGGGAAAGGATTTTGAGGTGCAAATTATTGTCATAAAAGGAGGAGAAGGATTCTGAAAATACATACAAAAAGGTGCAAGAGAGATGCTGCAGAAATAATTGTATTAATTTGTTTCACGTGTTTGTTGTACTGGATGTACTGGTTTATTGAGTTTGATTGATGCTTGTCATCGACTGAAATATGTATTTCGCAGACGGAACTTTGAAGAATGATGCCATCAGTTTCGATAAATTGCATTTTGAATTCTTCTGCAAGATCGCACAGCTTTACCTTCTTAACCTTCGCCATGCTATTCTTGTGAAAACCCAGTTGTAATGCGATGTTGTTCAGACTCGTGAAACAGTAACACAGCAAACAGCAGAGTCAATAGATAGAAAACTTAAATTATTGCCAGTACTAACTGAACTTATTTTTCCCGAGGATCTCGTATATTATAAACATAATTAGACATTAAACATGTTGTATATTATAAACATACTTAGAAATTAAACATAATTAACAAGAATTAATTAGAAGTTGTTCCAGGAAGGGGCCTCTGAACAGTTATTTTCATTTTCATGAGTTGTTACTATTGAATAGCTAATCACAGACAATTTCTGCCCACCCAATTAAATGTTCTGATTTGACTGTGTTTAAACTTGTAGCAAAACTGTTGAAATCTAAATTTGACTTCACAGCTGCATATTGGTCATTGTTGCTAAGATATAAATTGCTGGTGGTGTACGTAAATATTTTAATATTTATTTAAATTAGATGACTTTAAATTAAATTCGAATTTTAAAAAGCTCTTCTAGAAGTCTAGATTTTATGTCCAATCGTTTTATGTCCAATAAAAAACTTAGAAAAGAGTGAAGAGAAAGGTGCTGAAGCATAAAAAAGAGGAAAAACGTGGAGTAATCTCATGAAAAGGTGCAACAAAATCTGTTCATTTAGTTTCATTTCATCCTCCCACATACACATTAAACTATCTGTAAGAAAACAGCTATATATTTTAAAAGGTGCCACACCTTAATATCCTTTCCCAGTAGGGAAAGTACAAGTCATAAGTAGATAACGAACATTCATTTTTTCAATGGACTTTCTTAAGGGTTGCGAACTGAATCCCTCAAACGCAAACAGAATTGTCTCTGCACTTTCTCATTGCATTGTCATACTGATATTCTCTGTGTGCAGATGGCTGGACGACAGACGACCTGGTCTTCCTATGGAAAGACGGCGATCCAGTGCAGGTGGTGAAGAACTTACACCTACCACGCTTTACCCTCGAGAAGTTCCTTACGGACTACTGCAACAGCAAAACGAACACTGGTGGGTGGTTTAGTTTCTTACGGATACTCAGACAGCCTGAATAAGTCGATACAACAAAAAACAAAGTATATTTCTTTGAGAGATTATGTTAATCATATTTCATAAATGTTTCATTTCAAATACAATATCTATCTAATTAGCGCTTTTTTACAGCCTTGGCCGTTTTCCGCATCCCAATTTCCATGCCTCTTTATTCCATACGTCGTTTTCCTCCATTTCTCTTTTTTCCATGGCTTCAATTATTGCCATGATCCATGTTCTTCTCGGTCTTCTCCTGTATCTTCTTCGATTTGTTATCCATTCCCATTACAATATTATTATTGTTGTTGTTAATATTAATAATAATAATTCAGTTTTTATCTAATAGTTAAATATAAATCAGTTATTATTAACGTGGCTATCCGGGAGACGCTGCGAGCAGGGCACAGGTGCCAACGTTTCGGTCCCCATTCTGCGACCTTCATCAGGGCGTCGTTATTGCAACAATGTGCGTCCTTACGCTATATGAAAACAAGTAAAACAAATATATTATTCCTCTTGCAACGTCGGCAAATTGAAAGTCTCTGAAACGACCAGACTGTCTATCTTCTTGTTGGTTGTTGGCGTTGAATAAAAAATTCAACCCCATGCCACGTCAACGTTTTTGTGATACGTAGCTTTCAATTGCTTAGGCGACACCATCAGATATCCTGCATGCAACTAACGTAGAATTCTTAACTTCGACGCAGTAGATCTGACGGTGATGATTAAATTCATCGATACTTCTAATTAAGTAAATAAAAATGTCGAAAATTACTTGTCTATTCCTCTGTTTTGGAAAGAAGTAAAGCCAATTGTCGTATGTCGCAGATTTTCGTTTTTAAAGAACTTCAAGCCTTATTTGACGCCTCAAAGGAAACTTCTAAAATATATTGTCAATTGCCATATATTTACAATTCATTTATTTTATATAAGATGTCTACAGGATAACATTGTGACCTGCCGCCGAATAGTCACAACAAATGTGGAAGGGGCATAATCAAAATCATGACTGAAATGCAGAGCTTAAGCATCGCATTGTTTAACACAACAACTAAAGATCGTGATGTGAAGACGATGATGTCGAAGAGCAGTATGTGCGTGTTGGTGTTTGCCATGATCCAGCGGCGACAGCGACGTTTCTCTTGTGTTGCAGGCGAGTACAGCTGTCTGAAGGTGGACCTGCTGTTCAAGCGGGAGTTCAGTTACTACCTGATCCAGATCTACATCCCCTGCTGCATGTTGGTGATCGTGTCGTGGGTGTCCTTCTGGCTCGATCAGAATGCCATTCCCGCACGAGTGTCCCTGGGCGTGACCACCCTGCTCACCATGGCCACGCAGACGTCGGGCATCAACGCGTCCCTCCCGCCGGTGTCGTACACCAAGGCCATCGACGTGTGGACGGGCGTGTGTCTGACGTTCGTGTTCGGGGCGCTGCTCGAGTTCGCGCTCGTCAACTACGCGTCGCGCTCCGACATGCACCGCGAGAACATGAAGAAGCAGCGCCGCCAGTGCGAGATGGAGCACGCGGCGTCGCTGGAGGCCTCGGCCGACCTGCTCGAGGACGGCGCCACCACCTTCGCCATGGTGAGCGCCCCCGCGGCGCCGGCCCAGCGAGTGGCGAGAGTGTGCACCCCTGCCCTGCCCCCTCCTGCACCGGCACTCACACACACACCCATGCACACATGCACATACATACATACACATATATTGTCCCGCTGGTGGGAGATATCTGGTTGGGAAAAACCCCTTTAGCCGACAGCAAGTCGGCGCCGGATCTCAGCATCCAGTGGGAGACGATCGCCGCCACCCCTTAATAAAACATTCACTACACTTACGGTACTAATGACCACAAACGTTGACCTGTGGTCTCAAGTCCACACACATTTGGAAACTGCCTTCCACATGTCCCGATTGGGATGCCACGTTTCTCACAAAAAGATACATTTAGAACATACTTGCTTATTCCTAGTAGTGAATATTCTAAAAATAATACTAACATTTGGATATTTTCTTATCACTAATTTTTCATTTATTCAAAAACCCACTAAAACTTGGAATATATTTGCCTATATACCCTTGTGGATATTCTAAACTACGGAATCCACTCATGTTAGGAACATATTTTATTACACATAAATACTATTTTGACGTAGCTGAATATGAAGATCGTAGAAAATACATACATCTTTGGAACATTCTTAATCACGCCACTTTTGGGGTGTCTGCATTTAGTCATCTAAATAAAATCCACACTCACTTCGTGCAATTTCAAAAAATGGAATTGATAATTTAAATCTATGTTTTATGAATCCACTTTATCTCCAAATACGAACATCGTTTAATACCCTCAAAAATATTTCATTTAACACAATTGATTTAATAACTTAAATTATTACATCACATTATATTTACACTCTGAAAATTCTATAAAAGTATTTGTTTAGATCTCAGATACATGCACGGTATTGATGTTGAAATCTTTCGAAACTGGTTTTTAATTAATCGTAGGCTCAATAATTACTTCTTACATACATTCGAGGCAACTAAGATCAACGGAAGAGAAATAATGCGTTTGAAAAATAAATCGTATTGAAGTGAAGAAGACAATCAGGTCAATTGGTAATGAATATTTAAAATGAGAAGGAAGCTAGAACTTCGTTGAATTTAAATATTGTAGAGCTCGTTGCTCAAAAGAATATTTCAGACTGTAATATGTGCTGCTATTCTAGAAAACCATGACATTTTTATTGAGGGATGAACTAACCTGACTGAAAGCGAAATAGGTGTCTCGAAAAATTCCACAAATCAATACAATCAGGGGCATAAAGATTTTGCTAAAATGCGAGATTCGAGAAATACCCTATTTTGTACACCAGATACAGTTCCAGAACATCGTGACACACACTCACCAACACATCGCGCACGCTGCAAGTGTGTTTGCACTGAAAGTCACTCGCATTCACTTTCAAAGCTTGTTGAATTCTTCGAATTATAAAAAATATTTTATTGAAGTACTGCGCCAATATTTTACTGGCGTACATTGAATTATTTTGGCGTCAGGTATAAATTTCTCAAATGACACAACAGTGTTTTAGGTAGCAAGTAGTTAATTGGTAATTTATGATATGGAGGGTTGCTCATGACTTGGTAATACTCATACAAGCATTGGTGCCATCTTGGTAAAATTATTTTAAAATTTATGTTTTCTTAAATATATTTTGATAAGTAATATACGTTGGTTTGGAGTTTTCGAAACTGCTCGGATTCATTATGCTACAGCGAAGTACACACTGAGTCAATTTGCCTTTTTTTAATAAATGGATCCATAAAATAATTTCTGATGGCGTGCATAGCATGGTATCTCGTAGGTTTAAAAGAAAAGCAAAAATTTGATTACGATACGTAGAAACTGGTTTAATCAGAATTGAATGACATAGTTTTTAAAAGAATGGCTACTAGTTCTAAGGGTTCATTACAAACTTCTCTCTCACACACAGAACCGCGATTGGACCTGATTCTAACATTATACTTATTTACGGAATAGTATAGACGAATCTTTGGGTACGAATTGAATTACGACATGTTTTAAATAAATATGCCAAAACTCCTTTCGTACGAGATGTACACATTACTTTTCGTGTGAATTCATGGAATCGCAAAGAACATTTTCCGATCAATCATTCAAAATTATTTTATGAATGGAACATTAATAAATGTGTATACTTGTGCACATTGAAATTGCTGGCGAAAGAATAACAGCATAAAAGAGACTTTTGGAATCAGACGAAAAAAAAGCCATAAGCATAATTGTCGTATATGATGCAACATCGGTTTTCATTCTTCCTTCATAGTGTACAACTTTTGGATAGTTTTGAGGCATTTACACCTTCCAACGACATGAAACTTATTAGTGGCAACTTGAGGATAGTCAAAACATTTTGCTGCACTCCACAAGAACAAACTCATCTTCCACACGATACGCGTATCTTCGAAACAAGAAGAGTACCCATGCGGCCGAAAGATTCTTCTGCTCTCCTCTTTCTAGCAATTTACCTTTCCTCCTTACCCCAACGCATGGAGTGTGACATGCGCTTCGCCTCCTGAGTGCCAGTGTACGTATGCGTGTGTGTATGGGAAAATGTGACATCCGTCACGAAGCTCGACATCGTCCGACGTCGCCCGTCTCCGTCAGACTCCGCCCGACGCCGCCCCCTCGTGGAAACGCTCTGAATTGGGACTCTCGTGCGAGAACGGCTTTCTTTTAGGGCTACACGCTCTTTTGAGGGCGCCCCCGTCCCCGGCCGGAGCCTTTGTGCCCGACCGCGGGCGGAGGCCCCGTGCCCACGCCCCCAATCTCCCCGCCCCCGCCCCGTCCCCGTCCTGCCCCCGCTCTCTTCCAGCGAGGACGGCCCGCCTGCAGCACACGATGAGGACCCTGGCCAGAGGCTGCCGCCGCCGCCGCCGCCGACAGGCTTCTTAACGCGGCGAGGCCTCGCTGCTGCGCGGGGAACTTCCCAGTTTCCGAAAGACCAGGAACCCTCGAGCAGCCCTCGCAGGCTCTCGAGCGCGGGCCCTTCGTGTTGAGGCTCTGAGCGCTTAGATCGGCAACTCCTCTCGGGGAGTCGGATTTGGACCGGTTGTATCACAATAATTCCAAATGATACTTTTAAGTAAATCAAATCTCTGGCCATCTAATTTAATTGCTTTCAGGCAAAACTCCGTAAGCGGCTTAGAGTGTAAAAAGTAGCAACAATGTTTTCTTGAAAATGAAATTATTAGAACGATTTTCTTAGAATTTGTGGTACTGTTCATTTCATTGCTTATTATGAGTGATTTTGAAAACACTCTCACATTTGAGTACGTCTAATTATGATTTCCTTGAAATATACAAACCTTCAGTACAAAATAAGAGAAAATTATAGACACCCAAAGTTGAAGGAAAGGAGTGGAGGTTCTAATACTTCTCAATTGCTTCATGCTGACATGAAAACGATATTAAGTTCATAATCCTCGGGAACGTCTGATACTCAAGGAGAATAGAAACTTCGTATCAACAGCACTGTATTTAAGATAAGATTAAGATTTCACAGAAAGTTTGTACATCAGTTCCCTGAGAAGCATGAAAGTCACACCTTCACATACGGACCGGAAAAGACAAAGTTTCATTTCTTTCCAGAATTCATATTTCATCAGTAACGTGGCGGCACCCACTCTAAATTTGCAGAATATACAAAAGACTATTAGAAACGCATATCGGATAGAAGAGTTCAAATTAGGAGTAGTACATAAGGGACAAAAAAGTCTCTTGAAACAAGCAAGAAAAAGTTTGTACGAATTTCGCTATAAAGAAACCCAGTATTCTAAAAAAAACATTATATTAAAAATTAATAATGTTTGGTAATAATATAAAATTATATTCCCTTTCATTTGTGATCGATCATTAACTTGAAAACCCAATCTACGAAATTGAACAAATACAAATTAAAAGAAAGTAAATGTCTGGGTGTCAATGTAAATAAATGCGCGTATTTCTACAAACTGAGAAAATTTATTCTACAAATTACAGAAATAATATGGAACTTCAAAAGAAAATTCATTTAAATGTCTTGGCAGTCTTCGTACAATAACAAATAACGAATCTATTCGGAAATAATCTAAAATTTCAATAGTTTCAGGTTCGAAGAAGAAGAAAAGAATTAGTAATTAATAAAACATAATACTTTCTCTCGAAATACACATAAACACTGATTTTTTACTCAATTATAATATACCCAATCTTCAAATAAATCTGAAGGAATTTCAAACATACTCGTATAAAAGAAGAAAACAAAGTAGCAAGTTTTACAGAAAATTAAAATATATGACAAATACACTCCCGATTAATCGAAAAAGCAATATTCAAAATTTTGTTCGCGAACTAGACTCTAGAAGTAAGTAGTCAATTATACAATTTCATTATGTATTTGTTGATATCTTTGATACTTTAAATCTTCAGACAACATATTTAATGAAACTTGTAGATATTTTGCTTGTAATTTGCCACCGTTGTTACAATACTAAGTTTCAGAAGAAGAAAAGAAAAAAAAAAACTTTTGAATGTGGTACCGCCTGGGACAAGAACCTCTTACTTCCTACGACAAGGGGTGTGAAGCACGGAAAACCGAGAAATAGCACCTATATATATATATATATATATATATATATATATATATATATATATATATAATTTAAAAGTTGTAAATAAAATTCAGTATTGTTCATAATATTTTGAATCGCACGTTGATAATTTGAAAACATATCTAATAATTTCATATACAAAACGTTCGAAAGATATTTTTGATCTAATAGTGCCTATAGTTTTAAATGTTAAGGGGTTCACTTATTCCGTAAATTGAATTCTGCGGTGATTGTGTGTGTACAATGCATTTGACCAATTGAAAGCACATTTTTGTGTTAACGATTGTGAATGTTGTGTGAAATATAAAAAATCTATTAACTTTTTAAAGTTTTTAAGGAGTTGATGTAAAACATATTTCTTTATTACTGTAAAAGTTGAAATTAAATCGGAATTAAAATTGAATACACAGATGTGTAATTTTAAACAGCCTATTTTATTTGTTTTAAGAAAAAGAATGATTATGACTTTTGTCAAAAAAGGGTTTGATTGCAACTATTCCTACAGCAATCAAAACCAAAATCACCTGTCAGAAAACAATTAAGTATCAGCCTTTTCTCTCATACGTTGGCTAGTGACACGTTTTGTGGAGTCAACGTACTCTGGATGTTAACAAACTAACTTTTTGGTTCTGTGCCTAGTGATCTGTGTAGACTCGAAACTTTCACTCCTTAAAAACAGTGTTAATTTTAAATGTGTGGCCATTTGTGTGTGAGTTTGCTAACAGAATATCGAATGCTTTATTTTACACTTTTTATTCTTGCTTAGCAATTATAATATAGTGTGTGGTACTTATTTCAAAATACTGAAAATGCAGGTGAGTCATAACGCTAAACTCGCTGGAAGTGTCGGACGCCTTCGTTGAACACGGACGTGTTGACAATTATCTTCTGATTTCCCGTTTCAAAATATGTAAAATTGAATCTTTTATATAATTATTCTTAATGAATTTAAAAGTCTTGTGTGAAATGTTTAACAATATTTTGAATAATCTTTCGAAGAATAATTCGTATCAATTTCGAAAGCTGATTGAATTTCTGAGCTGAATAATGCATCAATCTCCTCCTGTTTCAAGTACTTCCAAGTATAAAATCTCTTTAAAATGTAATTGTATATTTCCTATCTAGAGAATATCTGGCCACTTACGAGCAGGTTAAATTTGATAATACTTCTGACATTGCTAAACAAATGTTAGACTATCTCAGATGATAGGGCACCGTAGTTTCGAAAATGGACCTCCCACCAGTTGAAGGAACTTGGAAGGGATAAAAACACAACGTAAATCAATATGAAAAAAAAATCAATGTAATAATTTTAATTTTCAAAATAATGCTACGACATTTGGCCGATATAATTATTCACAAAATAGAGTCAATATTCGATCCAGTACGTGCGCCATTCAAAAATAGTTTTAAAATAGCATTTCATTTTAATAT